CAGATACATTCAAAGGATTTTATTAGGTCAAATATTTATATGTTTTCCATAATGTGTGCACTTCTGCCATTTAAGTACTTTAAGTTTTTCCCCTGCAGATATAGTAACAATTGCAATGTGCAAGACGCAAGAGATGATAGCTTTAAATTAGCTAGCTCAGGTAGGAGTAATGTAGCCATGGTAAGCTGGAGCTCAGCTAGCTTTGGTGTTCATCTTGCTTCCTGATTTTCCACCTCTGATGCCTTGGTTCATGCCTTGGCGTAAATGACTACAGCAAAACCATGCTTCAGCTTACCTAACAAACATCATTTGTATGGTGCAGGCAGTGATTTTCAAGGGAGGAAGAGGCAGTGGGTGTGCAAAGCAGAAGAGAAAGAAACTGCAGGTGGAGGGAGGAGGAGGTGGACAGATGACAACAAGGTTAACACTGGTTGGGAGTTCACAGATGATTTGCTAGGATTTGGGATGAGGAACTGCTGGAAAAGGTTAAAATAAAATACTTTGATATGGTATAGAGAAAGGAGCCTGGCAAGTTTCTCAGCTGTATGATCGGTTGAATAAGTACTGTTTTCCAAAAAAGAGTCAAGGAAGAACAAAATAGGATGAGGAAAACAAAGAAATGGTTACCAAGATACAAGGCAGGGAGGGCTTGGCCAATATTTTTGTTTAGTTGTTTGTTTTGTTCTTGTGTCTCTCAGATTGCTGATTGAACCTGTTGGGTTGCAGTAATGTGTCTGTCATATACTCTTCTGCCTTTCCACCAGAATAATATTCTCTGTAGCTTTCAAAATGCTAATTTCCACCCCTAAATTTATGTGTATCATATTTGTCATTTACCAGTGCCTGCCTTTTTTGAACATCTTCCTTTTTAAACTTCTCTGCCCCGGTCAGGATATAGTTCTACTCTCCCTCCATCCATGCTCATCTTTCTTTACCCCATTTTTGTTTACAGACCGACTGTTTGCAGCAGTCCTCCCGTGAAAGGGTGTGTTCCTACAGCAGACTCCCCTGTTGTCTTTAGCAGTCTTTATGCAGGGCATTGCCCAGGCAGTCTGCAGGGCAGCTGCACAAGATGCTCAGCCTGAGCCTCAGTGCGCACTGCTTCCTTTAGTTGCGTAGCAGACAGCAAAAGGATGCAACACCAGGTATTGCAAGGCCCTAGGTAGTAATTTCAGCACACAGTATTCTTAATCCTGACAAAATATAACTTGGGTCTTACGTTAAAATTTTAAATATGCAGTGTCCGAATAAATGAACTTTTTCTCACAGTGCACAGCTCTCGTCCCTAACAGAATGTTTTTGCATGTGATATTTAGGGAAAGTATTAAACACAAGTGAAATAGATTAAGAAATGAGTGTAAAAGAATCAATTCTTTTGAACTGTGGTTGCATAATGGAAATCGACTGCTATGAATGAACCTATGTTCAGAAGTTATGAACAGCAGAGCTAATGCACTGCCATGAGTTCATCTTTATTATTGCATTACACCTGAATCAATTGATAAAGTAGCTTTTTTTTAAGGCTAGGAATGGCACTTAATTGAATAAAAGTCAATGTAATTATATTAGGAGAATCCAACAGTACTGCTGACAGCGGAAAAGGGACACTACTGAGCAGAGTGCCAGAACTTGTCCACACATTTCTGCACATCGTTTGCCTGACAGATATTATGGGCTAGTACATGCCTTAATTAGATTACTGATTGCCACTGCTGCAAGTGAGAATTGAATAAGGGAGGCATCTCTCCTTATCAGAGCATCAGCAGGGGTTTCATCCTTTTGCTGGTCTTTCTCAGAGTGGCCTCTGTCCATCTGGGGCTCTTTAACCACAGTAATTTATTCTTATCTCTTCATTCAATGAGCGTTGACATTATTTTCACTGCATGCCTGGCCACTGTTTCTGTCAGCAGCAAAGCAGGAAATAGCAAGCGAGGATGTGTGAGAGGCAACAGAGAGTTGCAGCTCTCCCAGCTGATTTCTGCATCATGGTGAATTCCCGTAATCTCTTCGATGTGAGATCAGGTTGTGTCAGGACAGGCAGAGAAGCTGGGGAAATGGCAAGAAATAAACACACAAGCACTTTGTGAGTAGTTTGCAGTTAGCGTTATGTTGATAAGCACAACTGTGCTTTTATGCTCATGTAATAACTCTGGTCAGTGTGGACAGGCCATCACAGTAAGCATTTCCTGTGCAGTACTTAGCAACTTTAGCTGGAGCGCATACCATGGGACACCAGGAAGGCAAGAAGCAGCTCCACAGAAAGAGGGGCTGCCAGGACTACTACTTGCCATTCATGTATGTGCATACTGCATGCATCTGTTCAGATCTCATTTGTGGATGGTGACGAGGATGCTGTGAATTTGCTGTGATTCATTTGGTTTATGTTTCTCATGTTGTGTTTTTGAGTCAGTATCCATCAGGACAACAGTGTAAGTGAGATTGCAGCTGACAAAAAAAAAAATTCATGGTCAAGACTTTATTTAAAGTCTATGTTTTGTTAGTTTCAGATATTATTTTCTTTTCTCTTTTTTTTTTTTTAACCAGATATGTCTGGATTGGAATGTGAATTTGTTCTCTCTCTCTCTCTCTCTCTCTCTCCTCTTTCTTTCTCTCTTTTCTCCTTCTTTCCTCTCCCTCTCTCTCTCCTTTGTGATCTCAATTTAGCAAAAGATTAGAAAGCTGATCTTATCACAAGGTAAGCTCAGCCTTCATAAGTGCAGTGTGGGGATATGCATAATTACACTTCTGCGCATCCAAAAAGCAACAACAATGCTTTCCTTGCTTGTGTGAAAGGAGTGTTTCCCATGTGGGAGAAAAACAAGGAATGCTCTCCACTTTTTCATGCCCTTGACCATACCTCTCAACTGTCTCTCATTTAGAAAGAACTCCTCCATTTTAGATGCGCCCCCACCACAATAATTGCATCTCGGGCAGACATGATTGGATTAACTGCAGTTTAGTAGCAGTTTTACGTCATAGGACAGATACCTGCACTGGCCGGGGCCAATGGCAGGCACAGTGAGTGGGCCAGATCATTGCTATTGCTATTATCTTTACTTATTACTGTAAATTACGTGCAACAGATAGATGCATCACAAAATAAGTGATAGAAAATTACAGAAATTAACCCCACATCACTTTAATCTTCCTACATTTGCATTTTCCGTGTTTGTCTGCATTGTGTTCCTGTACCATGGTTGGAACCTCAGCTGGTTGAGAGGTATGTTTCAAACGGTTTCTTAAACAAAAGCTTCCAGTAAAGAAATATTGCTCATAGCTATTGTTTTCCTTCTCCCTTTTTTGTTACTGTAGGACATGAATGTCTGTAAAACATTTGGTCGATGTTATGTCTTCCTGTGCCAATTTTATACCTACTACTTTTTGCAAATTAAATATTCCTGTGTTAAAATTCTCTCTCTCTCTCTCTCTCTCTCTCTTTTCCCCCTCCCCATCCTCTTTCTTTCCCCTCCTACATTTGGGCTCTGATCTGCAATTTATAATGGGCAGACAGACTGGTGAGTCTGCATGTTGTAAATTGCGGGTTTGGGTCCTTAGCTTGCAAAGAATGTTACGCAGTAGAACTTCGCTAATTCTCTTGCCACTGATTTGAAAATCCAGTCACCCTCCAAAGAAAGTAAATATTTGTCCTCCTTGTCCTCGGCAACAGTGCACATTCAGAATACTGAATGCAAAAGTTTTCTGATACCGAAAACTTTGTACCGATTTCTCATCTCTAAACACTTTGACAAAAAGAGCATGTTCTGTGTTCAGAGGTCTTTGATGTCTGTCATGTTTGTTGGTTTCATCGTTAATTCAGAAAATGCAGTTGTTCAAAGAGGATTTTCCTGACACTACTGCAAATCAGTGAGGTTCTACTGCAATGAATAAATAAAGCCCAATGTCAAAAGTGGAGAGTAGAATATAGTATTTAAAATAATAGGCTGTATTACAGAGCTACTAACCCAAAGGCTTAAGTTTTATTTGCAAATGTAGAGCTTTAATTCTTGAGAACAAAGGCCCTGATCCTGTAAAACACTTGAGAATGTTTTAACTTGCAGCTCTTGGGATCTGGTCCAAAGACCACTGACGTCAGTCACAGCTTTTCCAGTGCCTCTTGAGCACTCAGTGACTTCAAGACATAGCTAAGCCAAAGCCCCTACTTAAGTGTTTTGACTGATTTGGGGCAAAAGTTTTTTTTTTCTTTATGGAAATTACACCACTTCAGTCAGGCATTTAGCGCTGCATTAGACACAGCACTGGGAAGAGTACAATGAGGAGCAGCAGTATGCTCCCAGGGGGATGGAGCCAGTGAGTTTGAGATCTTCAGAAACTCGTATGTGGATTTCAGAGACTTGTTTTCCTAACCCTCACAAGTCTTTTCCATCTCTCTTTGGCCTGATTCTGAATACCTTTATATCAGAAGTGCATCATCAGAATCAGGACTCTAACTAGCTATCATACAGTCATGTTAATATTTTTCTCTTCCTGTATTTCACTTATACAGTTGTGTGAATACATATATATGTATATTTTGTACTTATATATGTATATATCAATGTATAAACATATAACTTTATATACAAACTCATAGCAATATTCTATTTATTAATAATATCTTCTTCAGAAGCGAGGCTTTTAGGAGCCAAGGAGCGAGGATTCAGAAGCCAAGAGTAGCATTTCACCTTTTCTATAATTCCAGTCTATTTTGTAAATCTCGTACACCAGGGCTGTAGCTGCTGCTGGGGACCAATGTTGAGGAGCAGGAGCTGGAACTAAAAGGGAATGAAGGGGTTTATTTTGCTTGTTTTGTTTTGATTTTATGTTGCAAGTTGCTCCTTTGTAAATAAATAGAATTGTCCAAGTAACGTGGAGAGGGTACAAAATGTAAATAATTGTAAACATTGCTAAATCAGAATTTAGGGTCAGGTGCTTGACAACTGTCCATTTAATCAAAAACACTGTACATTTTTCCTTTCTTCCCTCCCCTCTTCCTTTCCCAGACACAGTGCTAACATAAACCTGCATCGTAAACTGTTGACCAAAGAACTGGATGACATGGGCCTGGACTCCTCACAGCCTTCTCTTAGCAAAGACCTCCGTGACGAATTTTTGGTGAAGATCTACGGCGCCCAGCATCAGATGGGGCTTGACATACGGGAAGCCGCCTCCTCACCTGCCGGTACTGAGGATTCCCACATGAATGGGTATGGCAGGGGCATGTCGGAGGACTACATGGTTCTGGACCTGAGCACCACCTCCAGCATCCAGTCCAGCAGCAGTATCCATTCCTCCAGAGAATCTGATGCAGGCAGCGACGAGGGCATTCTCCTGGACGACGTCGATGGGGCAAGTGACAGCGGGGAATCTGCCCACAAAGCAGATGCCCCTGCCTTAGCTGTAGGTATGGGCACCGATGTCCCCGGATCCCTCATGTTCAACAGTGTTTCGGTGAGCAACGGTGGGATAATGTGTAACATTTGCCACAAAATGTACAGCAACAAGGGGACCCTCAGAGTGCACTATAAAACAGTGCACTTGCGAGAGATGCACAAATGCAAAGTCCCTGGGTGCAACATGATGTTCTCCTCTGTTCGCAGCCGAAACCGGCACAGTCAGAACCCCAACCTGCATAAAAACATTCCCTTCACTT